ATTGGTTCAGTAATAATTTTAAAATACATCAGGCATCTGTTATTTAGCTTGAATATTATGTGGCAGCTATTTTAAAGCCAATGTTATTTTTTAATCTTACTTTATTAGGATTAACTTTTTCTGAAAATTCCATCCAGGCGATGGGAATACAATGAAGCTTTTTTCACTGCCGGACTATCCTAAGTCAGGCGTTAAGTCCGCCGCTGTGGTCCAACAGTTTGCAAAGTAGCTGTTACAAACTTTGAAATTGCTCAGACTACACATAAACAAGTTCAAGTGACGTGTCTGATTTGCTTTAGACCTCGTAGAAACAGAAAATAGTAGCTGAATGTAGTTTGATTCCTTAATGAGTCGAATGAGGTATTACACAACACATTAAAATAACAAAAAAGGTTCGAGTTATCACTTCTACAGCGCTCATTTCCATTGTCGTTGTAATACTTTTGGTATACGTCTTACATTTGGAGGTCTGCTGTCATTGTCCTCTATTAACAGTGGTTGACGTGCCGGTGACCTCGGCACATTGTCTGGTGCTACGGATAATATCTTGGTTGAACTTGATGAAATTTGCGTTAGAGATCTTTGATGGGATCCTCGGGCCACTGGTGATAGTTGATCATCAAATCCAAATTCTTCTTCAAAGTCGTTGACTACCTGATTGCTAGGCGGCACTGCTCGTTGTGTATTTATTGTGTTAGGAGGAACATCTTGCGGATGTTCGTAATATAGTTTCATTAAGCCACGTATAAAATCCGTTTCTAACTGCAGAAGACAAAAACGTAGATTTTACTTTTTCTCTTTTTCTTGACGAACAAAAGCTAAGTCTCACTTCTTCTGCTGCTTGCTCATTGCGAATAATTGCATCGTATATCTTCTCTAACCTAAAACATAAAGAAAAGCCAGCTCATAAAACAAAAGCCTGTCATGCCAGTTGTTGAGGATCGAAATGAGCCAGAGGGTCCTGATCCAAACTTCACTCTATTGGAAGTTTTTTCATCACAACCCGGCCAGGTCAGACTCAAAAATTTTGAAAATGTAACCAGAAAGTGAAATGTTTGTTTTGCGGACTCCTTCAGGAAACTCAGTTTAGCGTAGACATGCAACGGTAACGAGGCACAGAAAAGGACCGGTAGAGTACAGTAAGTATCGGTTTTGTACGGATAGCCGGAGCGTGACTTAAACAGTTCTAAGCAGTAACTTGTTCTCACCGGTCCCTACTGGTTCTTTCCGTTCCTTACCGGCCTACTCAAAAACCAGTCGCCGTTACCGTTGCATGGCCAGTTGTACTACGAGAAATTTCACTACTTTTTTTAATGATTTTCTAGCTGCTTTAATAAAACATTTTTTGAAGAAAAAAGGAGAAAATAGCCGCAAAGTTGGACTATTTTTTGGTCTTAGTGGACAAGTTCGAAATAATTTTTGGTTTCTTGATATGAAAAAAAAGCCTGAAATTATATTTGAAAAAAGTCTGAAAATTATATTTTTGACCGGAACCCGATGTGAGTAGAAAAAATACTAAATATTTCAAAAAGACATACCCGTTGTAGAAAACTTCGTAAGTTCGAACAAGTTGAAAATTTTCAAAAGTTAAAATTTTATAAAAAGTCTAAATATTTTTGAACTTTTGTGTTCTAGATGCGCATTTTTTAAATTTATACACAGTTCTGTATGGGTTCTGTCCTGCTAGTAGTCCAGCGGTAACCTCACGTACTCGAAGTCCGTCCCCTATTAGAAGTACTTTTTGGCGAAATTTTTTTGAAAATTCTCCTATAGGTAGGTATAGGGCATTTTCCGATTTTTTTCGCGGACATAATAGAAGACCATGGTCTTCTATTTGGCTTTCAAGTCATATAATCGGCAGTGGTCTTCTGATAGGGGATTTACGAATCATCCGATTCTGATGCGGTTCCCTATCACTACGTTACACTTATAACGATGGTTTCAACAAGATTTCTAGAAAACTCTTAGAAACCAACATTTTCACAACCTCAAATTTGTACCGCTTTTCTGG